AACAGTATGATGGATCATTTGCTCCAACTTGACGTTATTACAACAATTTAATTATCATTCAAATTAATTACCAAAACAAAAGAGTCATGATTTTTATCAAAAAAAAAAAAACACCCGGAAGAAAACTTATTCCAACACAAAAATAAATCTAAAAGAATAATCTAAACATTATGATGGATCATTTGCCCCCAAGTTGACGTTATTACAACAATTTAATTATCATTCAAATTAATTACCAAAACAAAAGAGTCATGATTTTTATCAATAAAAACAAAAACTAAAGAATCTTGGCTGGTCTGATCATTGTTTAATTAGGCTTTGCGGCGTGTCCAACAGGCGACTTTGCAAGGCGAAGCCACTTCTCTTCAGATAATAGTTTTGCAAACCTGCAAAATAACAAGTAACAACTTTCTATTACTACAAAAAATTTACCACAAAAATTGTGGAAATTTATATCTGGTTTTGGTAATTGATATGGTGTACCTAGTGAGAGCCTCTTCATTGGACTCGTGTTTTGAAGGCTCCACCCTGCCAGTCTCCAAATTAACCCTAGAAACTGGTTTTTTCAACAGGCCTTCACCCACTTTGAGAAGATCATCCAAATTCTTCTTATCGGCTATGTCCACAGAAGATACTTGTCCAGTTAATGTGTCATCCTGCATTTTTGTTTATTCCATTTAATTGTGTTTTTACAATTAGATTAGGAGCCTGTCTTGGACTCTTGGCAACTAAAAACAGTTATAATAGTGTTTGGCAAAAAAACATGGATATGGGTCAAACAAACGCTTTCTAAAGAAGTACTTGAATTTTTAACAGAAAATTTAACATATTTGTAACAAACACCCTAATAAAACTGCTTCATGAGCAAAAGCTATTCTTACAAAGGAAATTCCAAATGCGTATATTTAACGTAGTATTTTTTTTTATCACTTTCATTGATAATTAAGGTAGTCAACAATGTGATAGGTAAATGTGATCCACTATATGTCGATTCAGATTTCGCATGTTGATATAAAGATAAGAAAGTTGCTGACTGTTTAACATGATGTTGATCAATACGGTGTTCATTGGTGGGGTTCATGCCCTTCTTTTGGTTTTATACATGTTCTCCTCTAGTTCTATGTCTTTCTCTATTTATTTGAATAAGAAAGGGGGAAGAGGCGCCTGGCTTTTGGAGACTGTACGACCCTTCACCTTTAGGTTTGAGAGCGAACGCTATGCATCATACACCGTGTTAATAAAATGAGATAATATATATATTTTTTTATTAAACAAATGATGTTATCTATACTAAGGAGGAGAGGGTAGGTTAAGTCTCATAAATAAGATAGTAATAATGTGGTTCAAATTTGGCTAGGAGAAAATATATCTTAATACTCTATTTACTTTAAAAAAGCAACAAAAAATAGTAAATGGAATGGGGTGACGTAAAGCACGTGCAAGGTCCCTTCAATAAAACCAATTGGCAATATAAAAATTGCCCAACTACTTATAAGCATATGCAAGGTCCCTCCTCCCATCAATGTGAGATTTTTTTTTTTTGTCGAACCCATAAATGTGAAATTCACTTTCAACAAGTAATAACTATTAACTACTAAAATTAATTAATGTACCTGAATTCGAAGGTAATTATTCTCCGAATGAAGGGCTTGGAAAACCACAGAAAGATGATAATCGACCATATCAGAACTTGATTGACTGAAAACATCAATTATTGGGGTTCCACCACCGCTGGTTAACCAATCTAATAAACCCCACTTGGCTGCAGAATGCGCACGGTATTTGAACTCAGCTTTTGCCGAGCCAGTTCCTAGAGATATCACTAGAAATCGCCCATAGTCCATTGGCTTTATAGGGAAGAAATCTTCACTCCCACTTATTATTGTCTTTGTCACTTCACCAATTGCAAGTAAAGTCTGGAATAAGACCAAAAATAATGTTGGAAGTCATTAAATCAACCAAATAACATTTAACTTATCAGAAAAAGTCTTAAGTTCAAATTAATTCTTTTATATACCGGATTATTCGCAGCCACACCGCCGTCTATAAGGTTAAAGTCTTTTACATTCCCTTCTGGGTCAATTGTTTCAAAATAGTGAGCTGGTAGATAAGTAGGTGCAGCTGAGGTTGCAATGCATATGTCTGAGAGTAAAGCATCAAAGAATGGTTTACTTTTCACCTAAGCACCCAAGAAAAGCAGATATTAATTCAGCTATATACATCCTTTTCTTTTTTGCTATAAACAGGGGGAAAAATAACAAAGTAACAAACCTACCTCATAGCTGGAAATATAGTTGGCTGGAGCTGTTTTATGTCAAATGTGGGAATGACAACATTAGTCAATGTCTGATGCAGTTTCTTAGAACCAAGTTTCTGCCCAACCAAGTCATGCAGATACTTCCCATCATATTTTGGCCCTGATAGGGCTTTGATAATCTTTGTCATTTTCGGAAACAATGGACAACTGTTGTTTAAAGCATTAATGTTCATATTAGAATCTATATATGCAGGAAGAGAAGTAATTTTTTTTTTGGTAAGAACAATATGTTCTGTATCAATATTCTAAAAATTTGACATAAAGATGCGGACATTACTGTTTCTGGGGGAAAATTTTGGGGCAGTGAGTGAGGTAGAAATCCTTAATATCCTTGGCAGCAAATACAGGGCGGTTGTTGTCATCTGGGGTTGCAAGCATTGCAGTCACAAGACCACCGGTGCTTGTTCCTGCAATCACATCAAAATAGTCGGCGATTCTTGCATCCTCACCATCCAACTTCTGCAACATGATCAATGAAATTCGACATTTAGTACTTAATGTGAAACATTAATATAATTTAGCAACTATTCTTTGACATGCAATTAATAAGGATGCATATGAAGACGAGATTGAATATCCTAGCTACCTGAAGCTCAGATTCAAGGTAACCAAGAATGGTTCCTGGGATAAGTCCTCTTATTCCACCCCCATCAATGCTGAGAATCGTTATTAAGTTTCCGTAAGTTGGGGCCTGTAATGGTATACTCTTGGTTCTGTCCATGAGACTTTCAGAGATAGAGAAAAAGAAAGAGAGATGGATTCTAGAAGAGGCTTTAAGCAAATATATAGCCTGACTGTTTTGCTGAGTTAGCCTTTGAGAGTACAGGGGTACTTATAGACTCCTCTTCATTAAGTTTCGAAGAATATCAACCAAGTTACTGGATCATATGCATGCATGCACCCAAACAAGTACAATGTCAGTGGATAAGAATTTGATTATTCAAATACTTTAGAGAAGCTTCTTGGATAGAGCTCATCAAGTTGGACAAAGTCGGTTCGTATTTAGTCATAAATTGTTTACTAATCTCTGTGAAATAATTGCAGAATGGTAGGTGAGACTCCAAGCATGAGACTAGTTGGTTATAATCTGAAGCCATTGGAGGGTTAATAAACAAGGCACTGAGTTTGGCCAAATCCAAACCCCATGATACGCTCATGAACTGCCTACCCTTAAAGCAAACCTCCATCAAGCATGCAGCTAAATACTTTACGTTTATTATTAAGATTATCAAGTTCTTCTGTGCGGCTTCGTATAATGAAGCCACATGATGTAATATTCCTTGTCAAATGGCCATTAGCTAGAAAATTTTTACGCGTTATATGTAATTTGATTCGTATAGAGGTCGCACTTGGTGCGATGGCAAGTGCCTTCGCCCATGAGCGGTAGGTCTCGGGTTTGAGACTTGGGAGCAGCCTCTCCATAAATGGGGGTAAGGCTAGCCGACATTCACCTCTCCCAGACCCTGCGTAAAGCGGGAGCCTTGTGCACTAAGTACAACCTATATGTAATTTGATTCGTATAAGGCGGCGATGCACATTAGCAGTAACTTGAGAAGGTCAATTCGAAGGCCAAAAGTTGCTAGTGTGATTGATCTGTTGGCCAAATGCCGCACTCGTAAGAAATAAAAAATTGGTCTACCATTCAATTATGTCTGCATATAACTTCAACTTGATGGTAAAGTGATGCTGCATAATTTAATCAAGTTGTATATTTTCATGAGTTTTTCGTGTACTTTGATTAAGGGAGTATGTAGTATTTGGTTGTCCTGTCAGTAACCTTATACTTCAGTAATACCAGAATCATTGTATGATTCTAATGCTCCTGTCAACAAGGAAGAGGAAATATTTTGATTCTGTGTTTTCATACCGTATATCACACTTTCAGAAAATAAAATTTTCCACAAAATTTTCCAGCTTAATTAAATGTGCCCTGCAGTAACTAGGAGGTATATGCTTCTCTTTTAGCATGCCACATGACTGGTATACCTAAATTTGGCTCCAATATAACTGAAGCGAAAATTAACTTACCAGTTAATTTTTTATGAACTTGCTGAAGTGATGATTCAAAACTACATGTTGTGAGTGGTAGAAATTTCAGTGGTTCAAAAATATTTAAAACCATTGTGTATATAAGCACACTACGCCGCAGTGAGTTCGACGAATTTTATAAAGAAAATATTGAAGAGCATAGAATCACAATGACTCTATTAGAGGATTTCACTACAAGAAAAGTGAGCTTTGGGTACAAAACAAAGGGCACAATTGAGAATTTTGTGTCAGTTTGACAACCAAAAAGCTTAAACAGTTCTCATTCCAAAAAGGGCACCATCTATTGTGCCCAATGTTAAAAAAAAATGACACAAAACAGTAATGAGCACGGAAACCGTGCCGAATAGGATCAGATGACAACTTTTTCATTGAAGATGGGCACAAAAAGCATTTTGTGTCTATAAAATATGTTTGTCAGCAACGCTGTATGTCCAGCCAGCCTTGCATGTGTCAGATTTGGAATTTTTTTATTAATTTGCAAAAACACGACAAAGATTATTGTGCCCTCTAGTTTAATATATTTAAATAAAAAGTAAATTTTGTGTCCTTTACATATTTACTTTTGGGATTTTTATGGGGCAAGCAAGGAAACCAAAGAAGGTTTGGATAGGATAAGTTAAAATATGTAAACTTAAAAAATATGAAAAATCTCCCTTCCCTTCACAAACGTCCAACTCCCCTCTCTCCCCTCATTTTCCCCCACCTCTCTTCCTCCTTCGTCCTCTCTCTCTCTCTCCCCCCTCTTTCACGCAAGCCGTCCACCGGTCACCAACGACCGTCAAATTAAACCTCCAGAATCCTCTTCACGTCCTCTTTCCAACCCCCAAGTTAGTTTCTACAAATTCGTAGCCGAATTTCGTCAATTTCAGATCTAAGAAGCGGTGGCCGCGGATTTTCCGACAAATTTTCGGCCAAACCTGCCGGAATCGAACCTCGACCCAAGAGGTAAAAATGATCCTCTCCTTGTAGGTTGTCCTCCACTATAAGTTGTTTTCCAAAATAAAAACTTTTAGTTTTGGGATAGATTCTAGATTTCGAATTTTAAATCCATTTTCTGTATGCATGTCAAAGATTGGGACGAGGAAGTGAATCAAGTTTGTTTCCAACCTGGGCCGAGAAGAATTGGACCCGCCCACGTATGGATTTTTTTTGTATGCATGTCAAAGATTGGATTTTCTTTTTGCTTAAATTCATCCTAGTGTTACAAGTAGCTTCTGGAAGTTTATGGAAGAGCTTATGAAAAGATTCACATCCGTTTTACTCGTTTAAACTTGAAGTAGTTAATTGTCTTATTTTTCATTTGGGGCGCTTGGTTCCACTTTGTTGTCCTGGAATGTATGACGGTAGTTGATGAATGTGCTGTGCATGTGGGTAACCTGTAAATTCCAAGTGTTCATATATAGTACAAAAATATTCTATTTGCCATCAAGCTAAGAATGCCCCTCATAATAACTTATAAGTATATATTTGTGTCTGATTTGTGGTTCTCATAAAATTATACGAAATTTACAATATTGTATGTTTACATGCAATTTCTCTATGTGCATGAACACTTATGTGGAGGCGGTGGGTCGGGTTTGGGAAGATCGGTGGATGTAGAGCCTGAATCGGAAATCACGTTGGTAAAATCAGGTAATCTTTTTCTAAGAATTTCAATTTTAATGTGTTTTGGTTTCTAGGTAGTACTTTGTTTTAGTATTTCTTGTTTCGAATTCATGATCGCTGACTGGTGTTTATGTGATAATTAAATTATGTAAATCTTCATTTCTTGACTGTTTTTAACTGGGTTTCTTTGGGGGAAGTTTCAATTTGACTATAGAAGATATTCCCTAATTTTTTTGCTCAGATCTGACTTTGATTTAGGTAATTTACATTAGGTTTCTTTTGGGGAAGTTTCAATTTGCCTATAGGATAACGTCATTATCATTGAATGTGGAAATTTGTCAATGTCTTACAGTTAATTGTGATGCCCATGACGAGATGTGCATTTTTTTTCCATTACACTTATGTGTTTTGTCAATTAAACTCCAGACCAACTACTACTTATCACCTAAGTTCCTAAAATTCGTGTTTGTTATATGTTGTAGGAAATGACCTATTTTGAGATATTTTTTTGCATCTCTCTTTTATTCTACATTCGAAAGAGGTAGAGTCGCATTATTGGGACTGTGGATTGCTTTTTTCATGTGTTAATCTGTGTGAAGATTGATTGCCATGCATGAAGAAATTAAAAATGTTACTAAAGTGTCTGGCAAAAGTCATTATGTTTCAATCACGGACGAGTGCATGTATACATAGCAGAATTACACCAATTAATATGTGGGAGGAAAGATATATAGCATCTGATCTGGTAAAGAAAAGGAATCATGATTTAAAAATTTGGAAGCCATTACATATTTATTCTTGCTGCTCTGTGTAAATGATGTCACCTTCATTTTCAATAGCTTCTTGGTAGTCTAAATTTATAGTTCATTTTTTCAGCGATATCCAATGTGATAATGTATTTTACTGCTTGATATATTTCTTACTCGTGGTCATTTTTTAGAGGCTGTCAGAGCAGGGGATGTCAATACTGTGTTTTTTGTGGTGGTTGAAGGTTGTTTGGCGTCCGATGAATTCAAATGGTATTAGGAATTATTGGTTTCATTATCTGTATGAATCAGTTTGTAGAACTAAATCATAAAAGCTTGTTTTTGCCCTACCCATAGTTTAATTGCCTGAACTACAAGATATTGATATTTTGGTGGATTGATTGGATGGTATCTTTAGAAGATATACAAATGCTTTTATCAATCTCTGCAAGGAGAAATGGCTTGAGGGGTTTGCTGGTTTGCATTATAGTTATACTATGTCTTCTTGGAATTGTATATAAGATGCACTTTTTTCTTTAATTATTCTTACTAAAGACTAAAGAGTACCGGCTTTTGTTTGTGTGTTTGTCTTTGTTACCAGAGATTTGGAAGTACCACCAAGCTGGCCTTCCTATTTGGACGTTCCACGCTTTGAAGATTTAAGTATCACCGACAAGCTAGCCTTCCTATTTTGGACTTATTTTGTTTTGAATTCGACTATATCTGTTATGGCTTTTGATGAGGTGCAAGGCTTGTTGGGGAAAATGCATTTGTCCAAAAATATGTGCTTTCAAGTTTTATTGTATTAGAGATAAAGTATGTAACATTACATTATGTTTGTGAGATTGGGAATGTGTTGTAGGCCTTTTCATTTTAAAAAAATTAAGGTTTTTCATTTCGTCAATTTTTTTTTAATATTTAATTCATGTTGGCACAATTACAATATGAAGTGCCAACGTGTCTGGAAAAGGTTGTCTGACAAGGTGTCAGAAACAAGGCACATATAGTGGTCTATTTGTGCCTGCCTCTTTGAGCACAAATCATCATACTGTGCGCTTTCTGAAATGGTGACGCCCATAGAGGGCACAGACCCAAAAATAGTAGCTGCATTGTTGCTATTGGTCTATGGGCACAATTGTTGGTGCTTTTTGACCTCAAAGAGCATAGATAAATTATTGTGTGCAGTGCTCATTTTTTTTGTAGTGTTTGTACGACAAGATTTGAAGTACGCAAAAATAAATCATAAGATTGCAGTATGTTCATAAGATTGATGAATCTGCAATATTTCTCCGACATATAAGCTGTTTTGTTAGCTCCAATCATTTACTGAAGAAAAAACAAGACCCAACAATGGGCAGATCAGTGAAAAACTGAAATTCAATGAAGAAAACGGATCGACAAGACTCCTGATGTAACAAATTCAAAGACAGTTAATTGGTTAGAAAGCTGAGCTTTAGAATAAGCTGCAACTAGCCTCACATTGCAGACCTTGATTTTGTTGGGGCTTAAAAAGACTTCATTACTTTGGAGATGTTTATCTCACAAAGAAGAATGTAATGCAGCGGAATTGATAGGTAAGAGAAAGAAAGAACACTCAAAGTATTACACAAAAATTTTTATTCACTCACAAACTTAGTACAAGAGGAAACACTCAAACACTCTTAGAAGCTTTGTTGCTTCTTCTTACTTCTTACTTGACACTCTCACTTCTTACTATTTGCTCTTGGTTGTTACACAACACCACACACCTATTTATAGGTGGTGTTCACCGATTATCTTTGTTACCATCGACATGAGCATTGCGGCAATGGCCACATGATTTTGCTGCCTCTAGATCTTTCTTTAGCTTGGATATTTTAGTGATAACCGACTGGAATTGCTAGAATTCTCCAGCTATATTACCGACATAGATTGCTAGAATTTTCTAGCATTTGCACATTTACTTTGGGTTGGATGACTTGTCTTGGGTTGAAGACAAGATTACCTTTTAACATCCCCCCTTAATCTTGTCTTGTGACGCCGATTGAGTTTCTCAGTCTGACAAAGTCTTCTTGTTTGAGTGGCTTAGTGAATATGTCCGCAACTTGATCTTGAGACTTCACGTATTCCACTTGCACATCCTTTCTTGCAATACACTCTCTTATGTAATGATAGCGGGTATCTATGTGTTTGCTCCTGTCATGGAATACTGGATTCTTTGCTAGAGCTATTGCAGACTTGTTGACATAGATCTCTGTTGGCTCTTCTTATGGCATGCTTAATTCTTTCAGCAAGTTTCTCAGTCAGATTGCATGACAGACACATGAGGTAGTAGCTATGTATTCAGCTTCGCAGGTAAAAATAGTGACAATCGGTTGCTTCTTCGACATCCATGTGAATGCAGTGTCTCCCATGAAGAACACAATTCCAGTAGTGTTTTTTCTATCGTCGGAATCTCTTGCTCAATCACTGTCGATATATCCAACAAGTTTGTAGTTATCAGAACTAGAATAGAACAAGCCAAAGTTAATAGTACCTTTAAGGTATCGAACAATTCTTTTGGCCGTCTTCAAATGTGTAGTTGTGGGATTCTCCATGTAGTGACTGACCAATCCGACGGCATAGAGAATATCTGGTCTTGTGCAAGTCAAGTAGTGCAAGCTTCTAACTAGAATTTTGAAAAATGTTGGATCTACGCTTCCTCATTCGTCATGCTTGGTTAGTTTGACTCCGCACTCCATTGACTTGCTTATGGGCTTGCAGTCTTCCATTTTGAACTTTTTCAGTATCTCCTTTGTGTAGCTTTCTTGGGAGATGAAAATACCTTTTTCGTTCCGCTTGACTTCAATGCCTAGGTAGTATGCCATTAACCCGATGTCGGTCATCTCAAATTCTTTGGTTATCACTCTCTTGAACTCTTCAAACATGTTTGGATTATTTCCTGTGAAGATTAGATCATCCACATATAAGCACACAATTAGAATATCTCCATCTTTGACTTTGATGTAGAGAGCATGTTCATGAGGGCACTTGGTGAAGTTGTTTTCTTGAAAGTACTTGTCAATGCGACTATTCCATGCTCGTGGCCCTTGTTTTAACCCATAGAGGCCTTTCTTCAGCTTCAGAACTTTGTCTTCATGCCCTTTGATTTCATAGCCTGACGGTTGCTGAATGTAGACTTCTTCTTCAAGGACTCCATTTAGGAAAGCGGACTTCACATCCATTTGTTGAATCTTCCATTTGTTTTGAGTTGCCAAAGAAATCGTATAGTTTCCAACTGAGCAACGGGTGCAAATACCTCATGACACGTCCCAACCCCGATATTCTCTGAATACCCGGATAGGCACGTGTTGGCCGACACTCGAGGGTGACGAAAGCCATTTATTGAATACAAGAGTAATGATTAGGAGAAAATGAACATGAATAATCATTAGAATCTAAAGGTAATAAACAAAGTTTAAGGAAATGTCTATAGTGCACATAATACGTTCTAATTCAAGATCACAAAAGGAAAGATCATTACAAGATATCACCCAAGTGAGTGATAGATTGCTACTGGTAGGGGAATGCCTCGTACGTTGTGTCATAGTCCTCGTTTCTAAAACCTGAATGGGGGCGCAAAATAAAGGTGAGTGGACCAAGTTCATATATACAATAAAACAGTTATCAAGATACTAACTCCCACAATTTATATAAAGAAAACTACTAACATAATAAGTGATAGATTTACTGAAAACCCTAGCATGCCAAAAACATCTCAAAGGTCATATCGCAGAAAACATTGCGGAGATAAAAAAAATCAAATATCTCACAGATCGTCTCGTAAGCGCGGTGTGCTGCCAATAAGATCACTGAATAAATATAACTCCTGGCCCTATGCCAGCACCGTGGTCTCTGCACCCTTAGCTAGAGATTACCAACTCCCGGCCCAATGCCTGCTCCATGTCCCTCAGCCCGTAGCTAGGGATTATTTCTCCCTGCCTAACTGCCAACACCAGATCCTCGCCCTAGGTGGCATAGTGTCCACTAGGTACGCACAAATAATTACGCCTATCAAATATAACCACTTTATAGTATAAAGTCATCCATCATCTATACTATAAATAGGGGTTTTGAAAATATGTTCTAGCATCCTATCGTCATCAATTAGATAGTCTACCAGTTCATGGTTTTTATAGAAAATATGATATATTAAAATATAGCTCAATATAGGCCAACAATTAATTCTTACAGAATAACGAGACGATAATCAACATTTCAATAAACATGCTTAACATAAAATCAATTCATAAACTCGTAAGGCATGCATTTCATTTATGCAAATAAACTATAAAATTATGCAAATTTTAGAAGGGGTCCACTCACAGATACTCTGTAGCAGCAAAGTTATGCGGAAAAGAATTAAGGAAATCCCCATTAGCAACTTCACCTAAGCACAAAAATATACAATTTATCAAACTATGCCCAAACGATAAAATTCCAAGAAATGGAAATGGGTCTTGGGTTTGGATTTGGATTAGGGTTTAGGTTTAGGTTAAATAGGATTAAGACCTATTGGGTTTTGGGTTTCGGTAGTTTAGGAACAAATGGGTGGTTTGGGCTTGAGCCCAAACCCACACAACACACATACACACACGCCAGCACACACACGTGTATGCACAGCACACATGCATACACATCATATACACGTGCACATGCACTAAACACACACACACACACACACACACACTGTACACGCACACACCCATACACAACAACACACACACACACACACTCACACGGGTGCACAATATACACATCACACACCTACACACACACACACACATACACGTGCACCGCACACACTCACACATGCACACACCCACGAACTTGCCGAAGTTTGACTGTTCACACTAGTAAAAAACTGGAAAAAAAAAGTATAAACATCCATGCAAGAGTTAGAGCTCGAAATTATCTCCACATCACTCATAAACCTTGGATTAAACACTAAATGAGGCATATGTTTCACCTGGAACCGACGGGGAAGACTCGAAGCTCACGGTTCAGTGAGTTTGAAACTCTGCCATGCGCAGATGATCCATGCAGAGCCACTGCTGAGAACCTCATGCAACCCATTATCTATTTCTGGTGATTTTATGTTGAACCAAGCCGTAAGAAATGTTGGTTGTAAGTGGTAATGCTAGGGAAATTAGAGAGAGTGAAGGTTGAGAGAGAGATGTCTAAGAGGGATGACTCGGGAAGAGAAGAAAAGAGAAGAGAGCTAGGGATCGATCCCACATGAAAAAACATATTTATCTAGATCAACGATTGATATGAAGGGAAAGGAAGAGAAATGAGAGAGATGAACGATTGATATGTTTAGAGATGAGTTAACAAACATATCTACCAATTGGCAGTTTAGGAGAAATGAGGAATCTAGATCAAAGGCAAGGATTAAATGAGATAAGGGACTAAATTGATACACTTAAACATGTTCCAGGGAGAAATATAGAACTATAAATAAAAATGTGGGGGTGGGTGTAACAATCTACCCCCTCTTACAGAAATTTCGTCTTCGAAATTGCGAATTTACACGAAAAGAAAGGGATTTTGGTTCCGTATTGATTCCTCTGTTTCCCAAGTAGCTTATTCGACTGCATGGTTCCTCCACAGTACCTTCACCAAAGGAATAACCTTGTTTCACAACACCTTATCCTGTCTGTCAAGGATAGCCACTGGTTCTTCTACATAGTTAGCATCCGGATTTACTTCCAATAACTCTTATTGGATGATATGAGAGGGATCTGGTACACATTTCCGAAGCATGGAAACATGGAAAACGTTATAGATCAGTGACAACTCCGGTGGTAGCTCTAACCTATAAGCAACTGCACCAATTCTTTCAATAATCTGATATGGACCGACGTATAGAGGCTCACC